ACTTCATTAGAAGCATCTTAAAACAAAAAAAGGAGAGAAATTGTTACCACCACAGAGATATCAAATGTAAACAGAAGTGCTCATGTATCCTGGAAACAATTGAGTTTCATGAAATCAGCAATATATATTCTATCAATAATTAAACTTCTTTTGATCCTAAGTGACAGGACTCTAAAATACCCAACACTGAAAATACATTGTGACGTAACAGTGGGATTATAGCAACACTTCAATATTGCACAAGGTAAATACAACAATATTTTTACACTATACAGTACACCCTGTGAAGCTCTTTTGAAATGTCCTCCTGACTTGAAAAGCATCATATCAAATGCAACGATTTATCAAAACACAAGGATTTATTTTAATGTGCAGTAACAATGCTAGATATGAACACATCGGATGGAGAAAAATAAAATTTTATTTTGTAGCACTTTATAATGAAGCGCAAGGCAAAAAAAGAGCATTTTGTCAGAAAAATTGAGGGGAGGGAATATACAGGGTGATATTACAATCTAATAAGTCTTAAAGAATTTTCAGTATATTGAATGGCATTATCTTGCAAGGAGCAAAGGGAGATTTGATAGAGTGCAAGTGCTCAGATCCTTGAAAATGGCAGCACATGTGGAAATGCTGCAAAAAGAGGCTGATAGTATTCTGGGTTTTATACATAGTGGTATAAAAGTAAAGCAATACATACTGGAGTACTCGGTTCAGTTTGGGGCACCTCACTTCAGGACAGATGTTGAAGGTTTTGGAGGGGTGCAAAGGAGATTTATGAAACCAGGGATGACTGGTTTATAGTTATGAGGAGAGATTGGAGATGGTGGACCCATTTTCACTGAAGCAGAGAAGGTTGAGAGAGGACCTGATAGAAGTGTACAAAATTGAGGGGTTTTGACAGGATGAACAGGGAAAAGTTATTTTGACTGCTAGTTGTATCAGTGGCTAGGCACAAGAGTCACAAGAGGAGTAAAAGGAGAGGTTAGGAGACATTTCACACAAACTATAGGGAAGTGCAACTCTTCCCTCCACAAGCTGCAGATCACCCAGATCTCTGCAGCTCGTGTCCTTTCCCACACTAGGTTCTCGGTGACTGTACAGTGCCTTGGGACATCCTTCTGATGCGAAAGGCTCTATACAAATGTAATTTGTTGTTGTAGAGGCTTGAAGGTGTATGCAGATAGAGCACGGCAGTGAATTGAAAGAATAGCTTGCTCTTAAGATCCGGTGCAGACTCAATAGGTTGCATGACTGCTTTCTGCGCTGAATATTTTTATGATTCTATAAACATCTCAAAGCATTTCACAGAGCAGTTGAGTCTAAGTTTTCTTGTTATGCAAACTGCACCCATTTGTACCAATGAGGAAGGCCAACCAAAAGTCATAAAACAAATTATCAATTAAAATAGCTGATGTTGCAAATCTAGCAAGATCAACGGATGTCATGGAACTGCAAGTGAGCAAAAAACACTGCAAGAGGACAAGTTACATTCAACAACAACAAGGTTACATTTGTATAGCGCTTTTCACGTCGGGAGGACGTCCCAAGGCACTGGACAGAGTACAGCATTTCAGACCAGAGCTGGGGTTGGAGGGGGAAGAGAGGGGAGGGGAGGTGACCAATGGCATGGTCGAAAAGGAGGGTCTTAAGGCGGGACTTGAAGGAGGCTAAGGAGGGGGGCGAAGCGGAGTGACTGGGGGATGGAATTCCAGAGGCTGGGGGCAGAGTGGCTGAAGGCTCTCCTGCCAATGGTGGGGCGGGTGGGTCAGGGGACATGGAGCACGCCGGAGCCGGCTGAGCGGAGGGAGCGGGCGGGTTGGTAGGAGTTAGGAGGTCGCAGAAGTAGGGTGGGGCGAGGCCATGGAGGGCTTTGTATGTGAGGACCAGAATTTTGAACTGGATCCTCTGAAGGATAGGGAGCCAATGGAGTTGGGCGAGAGTGGGGGAGATGGGGTCACAGAGTTTGGTGTGGGAGAAGACACGGGGTGCAGAGTTGTGGATTATCTGCAGCCTGTGGAGGGAGGAGTTGGGAAGGCCGACAAGCAGGGCGTTTGCATAGTCAAGGCTGGAGGTGATGAAGGCATGAACAAGTGTTTCAACGGCCTGAGCGGTGAGGTAATGGCGGAGACGGGCAATGTTACGGAGGTGAGGGAAAGCAGAGCGGGTCATGGCTTCGATGTGGGGAAGAAAAGATAGTGGAGGGTCGAACAAGATACCTAGGTTCCTGACTGGCTTGGTGAGTTGTATTGTGCTACCACGGAGGTTGATGCTGCCAGAGCCTGAGTTGCTGAGGCGCTGGCGCGAGCCAATCAGGAGGGCCTCAGTCTTGCTCACATTCAACTGTAGGAAATTTACCCTCATCCAGGACTTGAAAGAGAGATGTAGGTCAGATTAAGAAACGCAGATAGGAATAATAGAGATGAAACGTTGTGGGTGAAGATGAGCAAAGAGATTTTGGTATCCAGTCTGCATATCATTGAAGATAACTCACTGATAAGAAAATCAAAAAGGCTAATTGAGATGCTGAGTTTTCAGTGGGTATAATACACAAAAGCAGTGTTGCATTGGAGTATGGTTCCATTTCAGGGAGTCCACTTTAGGAAGGATATATAGTAGAGAATTTATCCATGGCAGGATACTGCATAAACTTGTACTATATTCCAAGGCAAGGTTAAGTTGTGATCTGATGGTTTAACAGATGAGATTTTTAATGTTGTTCAGGAATGTCATCATTCCAGTTGACTAATTCAGAAGATATGGACAACCCAAATTAGAACTAAATCCAGAAAACATTTATTCATACATGGGATAAGAGAACATGAAATGCATTGAAGCAGATGACCATAGATGCAGGGTAAAGCTTTCCATTCACAATCAGTGGGGAAATTATACTCTGATAAATTTTAACTGTGGTGAACTCCTAGAAACAGGTTGTTAGCTGCTATTCATCAACCACACCAGACTACTTTGTTTAGTTTCTCCTCTTTTCCCTGTCCCTCTGCATCTTCCCTTCCTATCCAAGATCCTTGAGAGAGCCGATGCCTCCCAGCTTTGCTCTTTCCTCTCCTTTCACTCCCTCCATGAACCCCTCCAATCGGGTTTCCGTGCTGCCTACAGCACGGAAACTGCTCTGGTCAAGGTCACAAATGACATCCTGACCATGTGTGACCAGGACTTTCTCTTTCTCCTCGTCCTCTCTGCTGCCTTCAATCCTCCTCCACTGCCTCTCCTCCCACCTCAACCTTCAAGGTTCTGTCCTTGGCTGGTTCAGGTCCTACCTTTCACACCGCCTCCATTTCGTCGTGGCAAACAGCTTCTCCGCCAGCTCCCGCACTGTCTCGAGCGGTGTTCCTCAGGGCTCTGTCCTCAGTCCCCTCCTCTTCACCCTCTACATGCTCTCCCTTGGTGACATCATCCGCAGACATGGGGTAAATTTCCACATGTATGCGGATGACACCCAACTCTACCTCTCTGCCTCCACCCTGAACTCCAGGACTACTGGTGTCCTGGACGAGGGACAACTTTCTCCAACTCAAAGTCAGCAAGACCGAAGCCCTCCTGATAGTGTTGCGCCCACGCCTCCGCACCTCAGGCACTGGCAGCATCAGCCTCCACGGCTGCACACTCAACCTCGTTAAGTCAAGAAACTGGGTGTCTTGTTTGACCCTGAACTGTCCTTTCTCCCCCACATCAGCTCCATGACCGGCACTGCCTCCCACCACCTCCGCAACATTGCCAGACTCCGCCACTGCCTCACCCATGCATTCGTCACCTCAAGGCTCGATTACAGGAACTCCTTCCTCATCGGCTTTCCCAACTATTCCCTTCACAAGCTGTAGATTATCCAAAACTCTGCAGCTCGTGTACTCTCACGCGACAGGCTCCGTGACCCTATCACGCCCACCAGCGCCCGATCCCACTGGCTCCCCATCCCCCAGAGGATTGAGTTCAAGATCCTCATCCTCACTTTTAAGGCCATCCATGGATCCATCCATTAAGGCCTACCATAGGTGGCCGGACTTTCAGCCTCTCTGCCCCCACTCTGGAACTCCATCCCACGGTCCCTTCACCTCGCTTCCTCCCTTGCCTTCTTTAAGGCCGGTCTCAAGACCCTTCTCTTCAACCGTGCCTTTGGTCTCCCTCCCACCTCTCTGCCTTCCCTCACCGCTACACCACCCCTCCCCCATTCTTGGGTCCCGATACCTGACTGTTCAGCGCTTTGGGACGTCCTCCAGACGTGAAAGGCACTCTGTAAATGTAATTTTGTTGTTGTTGCACTGAACACCTGCTCATAATGGGTGATTATAACCTCCACTTTTTGTCTACCCTTGTACTATCTCCTCAGATTTCACTGCCCTCTTCTCCTTCCTAAACCTCACCCTCCACATCAACTCGCCGACCCACAACCGTGCCCACGCCCTTGACTGCGTCATCACATATGGCTTTGACATTTCCAACCTGTCCACCATGGACAAGGCCATCTCGGTCAACTGCCTCATCTCCCTCTCCTCTCTTCGAAGCCCTCCACCATTTTTTTTCCGCTCTTGGAAAAAGCTTCCCCGAGTCCCTCACAAATGCCCTCTTCCTCGATCTCCTCTCCCTCTGGCCCTCCACCCAGTGTTCCTGATGCAGTCATCAAGCTGCTGAATGGCCTTCTCTCCACAGCCTTTAATTCCTTGGCTCCCCTAAACCCAGGCTGTTTCCAAATCCACCTGCAGCCCCTAGTACAACAGTGATCGCCGCTTACTTGAAACCCAAACCCGGACTCTCGAGCGCAGATGGCAGAAATCCGGCCTAACGATTCAACCGTGCTTGTGGTCACTTCCCCACCAGCTCGGAGTCAGGCTCCGCCATTGTTAAGCGCTCTGAGATACTACCCTGTGTGAAGGGCACTGGTAGTGCAATTTGTTGCTGTTTAAAAAGTAAAATCTAATCTTTTTCAGTTCCTAACCCATAAAAACATTCCCCCAGACATCCAAATGAAACTGACCATTCAGTGACCGAGTTCAAACGACTTTAATTCATTGCATTTAATATTTCTGTTAATTTACCAGCATAATATAGGTAAATATACAAGCCAACAATACTCTACTTTCCCAAAATTCAACATTAACATAACAGTAAACATCTAGAAATTTTATTGACAATTTAGTAATATTAGAAGTATTAAACTAAATCTACAGCCTCCAGTGCTGGAGTGGACTGCTAACGAGATTTATTCAATTCTGTTGTTGGTCACCACAAGGTCTACACAATGATCCCAAAGAACTGTACATAAAGGCTAAGCACCACTATATTAGGCAACAGCCCATTAGCGTAAACAAAGAACTGATTACATTGGTTGCCGGTACTTTGTATATTCCCTTATGTTCAGTGGGGATAAAAATTAGGGTGAAAGCAATTTTACACTGAAAAAGGACTGTGCTCAATATATCAGGAACGTAGCCATTCGGTATAGTCTAGGGTCCAAGCTTTGGTTTTTGTCAACTTAATATACATTAAGATCAATCCAGAAAAAGCAGCAAAAGAGCTGCCTGAAACATGCCTTTGATGGACATCACATTGTGCAGCATCCCAACATTTTCACACATTTATAATTCTCATTCATTGGAAAGTAGTCCATTCCAAAAGGTTTTTGAACCATATCACTTGCAAACTTCCAAGAGTCTATGCAGCAACAACCACCTGAAGATCTTAAAAAGCCACAACATTAAAAAAATCCAATCAAGCGATTAGAAAACTGAACACATTTAGCAATTTGAAAGTTATGCAGCAAATAGTAAAACCTAAGAATATATACTTCTAGTGGCTGAAGGGGGGGGGGGGAGGGGGGAACACTGATTAGCAGAACAACCACAAGAAATATACCAAGAGTTCCTGCAAAATGTGACATGCTGATATTGGCAGCATGCAAAGAGCATGTTTCAGGCTACAGCGCTGCTAGCTTATCAGGACACAGTCGACTGCCTTACTCAGAAATCCCCAAATACATAGCCGTCCTGAAATATGTGTTCAGTGGTCCAATTCTGGAGAACTGCACAGTTAAAGAAATGAGAACCACGTCACCCTTGATAAAAAAAATGCAGCTATTACATGCAATAACAAACTTTCAATTTCCTCCTCAATGGAACAGCATAAAACCCGAGAAACAGCATCTGCCGAGAAAGTCTGCAAAACCAGGAAATATTGATCAAGAAATACTGAAGTTAAACAAAAAAACTGTTCCGACATCGACAGCTGTAATGGTTTTGTATCACAGTAATTGTATAAAACAGCCAACTCCAAGAACTGGTCTTCCACCTCAGCAGCTGTTAACATTAACGCCCGTTTCCAATTAAGGCACAAGACAATCAAATCCCACCTACAAAAGAAAGCAGTCTACGGGGTGCCTCATATTTCACTTTTTGCACAAATGTACAAATTAAAAACAAGTACATTATACATGAGAGGAAATTCCACTGTTGTACAAAAAAATTGTTAATTCTAACTTTTATTCTTATACAATTTGCTGAGTTGAAACCATTGTTACTTTGATAATGAATTTTAACTATAATACAACCAAATGTAGTGGTGAGCTGAGCACACACATTTAAAATGACAGTAGGTCACAGACATGATTCTATACATTTTTCAAAATTCGTTCTGTCATCAAGCAGGCAAGATGTAATAACTAAGGGTAATGAAGAGTTTTGTTTTTGTTTTAAATGGGAAAGAACATTTTAGATAGAACGCAAAAGTTGGATTTGCACAGAGAACGTTCAGCTACAGCATTTCTTCAGTCCTGTTACTCCGCCCGTGCTGCTGATATCTACGTTTTCCCTGTCAGGTTCTTTTACAGGAGTCTGGTGGGAGGGGGGTAGAGGAGAGAGAAAGATATAGTGCACAAGTTCAGTAACACTGCAAATGGCATTTAAAAATAAATCCTTCAAACTATATGAAATTTTCGATTAGTTCTATAAAAGGTCTAAGGGTCTGATGAAGTTTGTCCCTTGCTCATTTTAATTCAGTAACTGGTACTCAATACATGCAATAAATTTTATTTGTTCTGAATTAGATTAAATTAGCGCTGAATCCTTTTTTTTAAAACTCTGAAGTTAATAAATTTTGCAGACAGTAGATCTAAATGTAGTTCATATTGATATTGCAGGAGGGAGTCTATAATGAAGTATTAGCCATTCACAAAATCATTCACTTTCATTAATAATGGATGGTGAAAGAGAAAAAAAATCACTGTGCTAAATGTCAAGTAGCCTTTATTAAAACTGCAAAAAAACTCGCAGCTAATATTCAGCATCAACTAATATAATAATGTGTTAGCAGGTGTAAAGTTATTCCAAAGATATAATGGAGGTCAGGAAAGGAATTATACAGTGGAAGAAGGAATTTATCAAACACATTAAAAACATTAATATATAGAACTGAAATTATAATTCAATATCTAACATATATGAGAGTGACCATTTGTGGGAGTTGGGGCTGGAATTTTATCCTCCCCAAGCATTCTTATTTATGCTCTGCTTGCACAGCATGCAAGAAGTGATCTAATAAAACCAAAGTGGGACTTTTTTAAAAAAGTGTATGGGGAGCAGCCTGACAGGAGAGTTTTTTGGTAAATATTGGTTCAACATTCAAACAAATAATACAATAAATTTTTATACAGCACCTTTCACATTAGGATGACATCTCAAAGTACACAACACTACCTGCTGGGCACCTGAAACAAGGTTGCACACTGAAGGAGAGGAGAAAGATGAGCGAAAGTGGTAGATCTCGAAATGGACCTTGAACAGAGGGAGGGTGCGAGTTGGAGAGACTCTAGGACACAATTCTGCAGAGCAAGGTGGAATGGCTAGACGGTATTTCCTGAGTAGCTGAGATGGTAGGTTGAAGGTAACAGAGGTAAGGTAACCGTGGAAAGATTTGAAGATGACACTGAAGATCTTGAATTCAACCCTCAGGAGAATGGGGACCCAATGGAGCTGAGAAAGGATGAGGAAGATAGACTCGCAAAGCTTTCGGTGGGGTGGGGCACGGGCTGCAGGGTTCTGAATAATCTGCAGCCTGTGTAGGGAAAAGCTGGGGAGTCTGACGAGCAGCGGAATAGCAGTCAAGCCTTGGTATGATGAAAAGGTGGACGTGGAAAGAAGTTGTGGAGGAGGCAGACAACGTTACAGAGTTGAGGGAAAGCTAGACTGGTAAGAACAGAGATATAGGGTCTGAAGGACACTTGGGAATCAAACAAGACATTTAATTTCTGCACCAGCTATGCAAGATGGAATGCTCAACTATGTAATTATATAAGCAATCCGCTTTATAACAGGATTCCATTACATCAATTAAATTCTCATAAAAGTTCAACATAATATTGGCTTTCTGCACGTTTTCTGGAAAATAACCATGGTAAGATTTGGAAATTATTCAAGAGACTAAAAGACCTTGTAATTTCCTTTAAAGATTAAGGATATTTCAAATGGATGACTCATTGTTCATTTATTGATAGTTCCTTCCTCATAATGAACTGTTCTAATCTCCTGTATCTTAAGTTGATTCCAATACAAAACCTCTCCTTTTTACAAGTTTATAAATAGCTAGATAGAATATAATTTAATTTTCCAGAGATGAACCCTATTTCAGTCATTTGTGAAAAGCACTTTGAGACATACTCCAGACACAAAAGGTGCTATATAAATGCAAATCTTTGTTTTCTCGTTCCCCCTAAGTGTACAACTATATCCTTAGCTGGAACAGGCTATAACAGATGAAATTGCACAAATCTCTTTTGAACATTTCTGGTTTAACTCTCCAAATTACCAGAAATAAAAATATGTTTATTGATCTAGGTTTTTAACCATGAATTGATGTCAATAACAGAATTACCTTTCGAAGTATATCTTCCGCTAATGTGAGGAATGCTTTCTCAATGTTGATATTAGCTTTCGCACTAGTCTCAAAAAACCTAATCCCATGTTCTCTGGCAATCTGAAGTGAAAAGCATAGCAGAATTAGATAAAATGCAACATAAGTATGGTTAAAGTACATTACAAGTATACTGAACCTAACTGTTTAGATGCCATAAAATGTTTATAACATAATTACCAATTTCTCAGCAAATGGAACTGCAGTATTTACAGCTTGCCTTTGGAAATGGCAGCTGATCAGTCTGTTGAATCAATTTTTAATATTAAATATGGGGATACATTTCGTTATCGTATCATACAGCAGGTAATCCATTTCAGTTAGCAGCAGGTTCCCATAAAAGAACTGACACAATATGAACAAGTAATACTGCACCACTTCACAGCCACATAAATAAATAGCTACAACTTTTTCCTGTGTTAGATAGGAGTCCTGTAACTCAGTGGTTAGAGCACTCGCCTGGCAAGTGAGAGACCTTGGTTTGATTCCTAGCAGGGTGAAACCTTGGGCAAGTTTCTTTACACCACACGCCCAACAATAATCCCCCAAGAAAAAAATAATAAATTGATCACTTCAATCCACGACTGTTTGTGGGACACTGCTGTGCGCAATTGGCTGCCATGTTTCATCCACAAAATATACAGTCAACTCACTTTACAGTATATTCTGTGAAGCGCTTTGAGAAGTCTAGAAGACGTGAAAAGCGCTATAACAAATACAAGGATTATTATTATTAGATAGACACAAAATCATGAAGTCGCACATAATCTTCCAACTCAATCATGCCATCATGTTATTGAAACATTTGAACCGCAGGCTTTTTTTGGGTCATTCAGGTGTTTAAAATATATAGAAAAACAGAAAATTTCCCTGTGTCTGGAATGGAATGTGCACTCTCTCCCCCAGAGGGATGTACCCAACATACTTATTTCCAAAGAATATTAGGTATGAGGTCTATGCTGGTAAGAGCCAAGGCTTTGGGACGCAGAGTTTGTGTTGGGGTGCTGCTGGAATTTAACCATCATTGAGAACACTGTCCAGTAAACTAACCTGGGTAATCAAACAAAACATTGGCTACTCTTAATGACTGGGGAAAAAATAGGTGAAATGAAAAAACCTTTTTAAAAAAGCATTAACCTTCAAACAAAGTCCACATAGTCCTTCCCATATATAAAAAAAATCACTCAACTATTGCTCATTTTCCGTGTAAGAAAAAACAAATCAGCAACTAAACCGCTTTAAGGTTAACCTTAAAGCACTTGCTGACTAGCTGTAACATCAAGCTAAGCAAGCAGGAATTCCCTTCGGTCAGAAAAATTAGTCTTCCCAACAGGTTTGTTGAGTAAGGGAGCAACCAGGCAATGAGTTTCCGAGCCATATAAGCATCCAGGTTTACCTGTTCTCCTTTTGCTTTTGGCACCACTCGCTTGTCTTCCATGTCACACTTGTTGCCTAGCAACATTCTCTCTACATCTTCATTCGCATGCTGAAAAAAAATCAACGTGTTCAATACCGTCACAAGACACTGCGCAAAAAATGAAACCTTTACAAGTTATCTGGATGTTGCACCGAGCATTACTCTGCTTCCGGACTGGTTCGTCAAAGAACTACTTGTCAAGAAACTGGTGGAGTACATTTCAAGCGCTCATACATTACAATGTTGATATTTTCATAAATCAAGTCACAAACGTTGTAGATTTTAAATATTCTTTTTTACAAAGCAACTAGTAGGGGTTTTTCCTTACATACCAATTAAAAAGTTTAAAACCGACGTGAACAACAATTTCAGTAGCAAACAGAAAATTCTTGGATTCATAATTTAGGAAATTAAAACAAATTCAACATTTCCACAATGGTTTGCATTATATTCGTAACATAAAATGTACAGAATGTATTTAGCATTCTTCCTCCACAGTAGTTTGAATTAGAAGAGTAAGATCCTAAAAGAAATCTTATGTTCACATAGTTCTTATAAATGCAACCCACGCAAATGTAAACTGAACACATTCATAGTCTGCCCCTTCGAATCCTGCTGACAAGCTAGACTGGCTGATGGGTCATCAACAGCAACTTTGGAGTGCTGGAGACGTGCCTGGCTCAGGAACCAGCTCAGGAACAAAGGATTGACTTCATTCTGAAATATCACTGCCAGGCACATCTTCATGAAGCCAATTTAGTTCCAAGGAGACCAGAAGTGCCTTGCACCCAAAGACGATAGTCACTAGTTGGTCAGTAGACATCTGATAAGCAAAGGTTTGAGCCCTCACAAGGTGCACCACAGGTACCAGGGATTCCCTGCAAGCTCTTTGAGAGCAGCACATTTCAGCATGAATTTCAAGAGAGCATTGGCACCATCCTCCGGCCTAGATATGTACCCATTGAGTGAAGCTTCATCGAGTTTGAAGTGTGGAGCTTCAGCAGCAGCTGTTCATGTCTGCATACAGATAAAGCCCTGGATATGCACATGCGTGAACCCAGACTCCAGCTAACATCTATCTACCAGCAATTGTTGGCCCCAGCCTCAGTTTCTTACTCAGCTATTTGACAGATATCTGGCTTCAGAGGGGTGGAAGCACCTACTAATATGTGGCATATTCACCCTAACCTATGATTAACAAATGCCTTAAATTCAGCATTTTTGGATTCAGAAACTGTTACCTGTATTCAACAGCCACTTACATTAAGCAATGGTGTTCCATATGCAAAAGAATCACTACGAGTGTCCTTCCAAAAAAATCATGTGTCTAGATCACAGAGCTATTTTCAAAACTAGAGTGCAATGTATCCCAAAATACTAATAATCCCTACATTTAGTACAGTACCTTTCACATTGGGTGAATATCTCAAAGCACTTCACAGGAAATAAAGTGGAGTGACTGTTTTGTGGGTGAATGTGGCACCCAATTTGTACATAGGAAAAGGTTTGCTTCCTGAGGGAATCAAAGTTGCAGAAACATAATCTTACCTCATCTATGTTCCTCAACCATTTGCTGATGTTTTCAAAGCTTTTGGCATTTGTAATGTCATAGACTAGCATGATTCCCATTGCTCCCCTGTAATAGGAGGTGGTGATCGTGTGAAATCGTTCCTGTCCTGCTGTATCCCTTAAAAATAAAGATTTAAATATCAGCAAAAGAACGAATGCTGCTCATTTGTTTATATTATGACTTGAAATTTTGCAGACATTTCCTTAATACACATTTAAGTGTCCAATTAACCTGTCCACATGTGCAGTGTCAAACAGTCAAACAAACCATGGGAATTCGGTGTTCTTAAAACCAATGCTAATTCCAGCTGGAATTTTCAAAAGCATCAACGTCTCTGAATTCAGTACGAAAAGAGCAGAATGCAAATTCACTGTTCATTGAAGCTTTTGACAGTTAAACGTGACAAGGAGAAAAGAGAAAAAAACTACACTCCAACCTTTAGGCCCATTGCAGTAACTTGACCAAAATTGTACACATCTTACTAGAAGGAAACTGAAGCTACCTTCACATTTCTCTTTTTTATTAAAAAACAGATCAGGCTATTAATCATAATCCAATACAATATTACATTTGTATAGAGCCTTCCATGTCGGGAGGACATCCCAAGGCGCTGGAATAAACATTGCAAGCAAAATGAAGAACAATGAAGCTTTTGTGCAGAAAATTGAGTCACAACAGATATGATTGATGGAAAAATTAAGAAAATCTTTACAGGAAAGGGGGAGAAGAACTTCAGTTTCATACTGCCTCACCACCATGAAACATCTAAAACTGCTTCGCAAGTACAGTTATTAATGTTAGGGAAAAACCTTTAATTGGCAAATGCAGCAGTCATTTGAGAGAGCAATGTACCACAATTAGCCATGATGAAAGGGAGAACAATAATTCAAGTAGTTGTGAATGTCTGCTTTGTAATTCATAGTCAACAATAACAATTAAAATTTATATTACACTTTTCAAATCGGGAGAAGTCTTAAAGCGCATCACACAATTGATTCAAGAGCCCAAACTGGAAGCGGTGGGGAGAATTCTAACCTGGAGGTGATGACTGAGGTATACTGCTTGACCCCTGTTATGCTGTGAAACCCTAAATTCAATCCTTGTTTAAAACCTTTCTTTGGAACATTGCCCACTGGTGCTCCACATTTCACCCCCTCTTACAGCTGAAAAACATATTCATGCGGTAGCCATCTCATGGCCAGATTTCTGCTGGCCTCCCTAGCTCCACCCTCATATTATCCAATTCTACAGCCAAAGCCAATGCACATCCCATAGTAAATTTGATCACACATACAAGACTCAGAAGATCCGTACCCAACACTACTCAAGGTCACACATTATGTTTTAAGTCCATCCTTGACAGATCAGAACACAAACTAGACACCAATCTATATTCAAATAGTATCTAATAGCCACAACAATCAGTAAGGACTTCAGTTGGCTTATCTGAGCAGAAAAATAAGTTAGTTGGAGACAGAACATGATTTTGTTTTGTTACTTTGTTTTCAACACTATCTTGCATGAAGGGTGTTATATAAAATGCAAGTAGCTGAAATTGATTCACAATTCTGCTGTCCAAATCCTCACCCATAACCAAACTCTGCATCCCCATCACACCAGGTTCCACTGGCTCATGGATTGATTTCAAGATCCTCACACTCACCTACAATCTGAGTCTACAATGGAAAACACACCCACTCCCTGGGATAGTGTTGTGTTCAGAATAAGATGTGGAACCTCAAAATGTCTAGCCTTACTCAGAAATTGCACCACAGTCCCTTCAAGCTCCATTTCAGGAGTAACTGAGGTTTAAGAGCACCTGGCATTCTACTTCATGGTGTCACTAAAGTGCTTTTGTTGACCACCAAAGGTGTACATTTGTTTCTTTAGCAAATTAGAGCTCAAGGAAGGAACCTTACAATCAGTAAATCAATGATGAACGGGCACAAAGTAAAGATAATCACAAAAGGGGAAGTTTAGGGGAAAAATGTATTTACAGAGGGCTTCCAGAATGTGGAATTCTTAAGCACAAACAATTGAGGCAGTGTCCATAAATTACTTTAAAAAGAAATTAGATACTGGAAAAGGAGGATTACAGGTTACAAGGAATGAACGGAAGTGTGGAATTAGATTCGGTGACTCATGTGAAGAAAACAGACTTGATGAGCTGAACAACCAGCTTCTATAACACGATAACATTCTTCGATTCCATATAAACTAAATATTCCCGTGTATTTAATTGAAAAACAAAATAGAATATTGAGTTGGTCATGTTTTTACAAAAGTATGCACAACTATGATGTGCATAACCCATGAAAAATGTAATTAAGAACACATCTCTTTCGTTACAATTACAAACAAAATTGCAGGATAGCACATGGCCATCACTACACCACCATTAAATAAAAATATAAAACATGTTTCACATCACCACTGGATCCTTTAGTTTACACAATCAACTTCAAGAAAAAGCTAACAGTTTTTTTTAAATATAAGGGTACACTTACCATATCTGTAATTTAATCTTTTTTCCTTGTAATTCCACCGTTTTGATCTTAAAATCAATTCCTGTAATTAAAGACAACACATTTAGAATGTAATGCAGCACTAAGCCCAACTTTCAATATAAAGTCCCTGCAAACACTTCATCTGAAAAGCTATTGGTGGATTATACAGTATTCATATTTTTTTTTAAATCGATCAGGATTCAAAGCTGCTCACATTCAGCCTCATGCATGAAAAGAGACAGATTGTATTTTATTGGGCAGATTACATTTATCTCCTTTAGATTCTCAACAATTGGCCAAACTTAGACCAATAGCACAGAACAGACTGCATTATGAAATACTAATTTTAAGGTTTACAGTTAATTCGATCAACGGCTGAATGTACACAAATGTACTACACAAACATTTACACTAATATTTTTTCAACACAGCAGTGAGTGTAACAATATTATTTAAATTGCTAAATTCCCAATTCAAATATGAATTACCCAGATATGCAGGAATCTGACCCCAAGTCGGACATTCAGTTTCTAATCTACAGAATTTAACAACCAGCGAATGACTCAGCTAATATTTTGTTTAGCAAATAGTAACTATCCTTCTTTTGAATACCCCTAACCTTGTCGAAAGCACAAACTGGTTTCACAAACAGTCATTGATAAGCACGTCTGGGAGGGGAGGATTAGTTCACCTTCACATTATCCCAGTTATATCTGAGTAATTCATATTTGACCCTTCTGGAATTTCCAAATGTGAAGTATAAATCCTGTAGCAGTGGGCCAGAAAACACCAAACCTTGTGGTGTAACTTTGCTGGAACTCAATTGCTTTATTTTAACATCCAATTGTAAAGAATAATTTCATTTGATAGTAACTCAAAGCTCCAATAAAAAAGAATTCTTATATAAATTTAAAATCTCAAAATTCTAGACAGCGAATAAAGATTCACAATCCGTATTGTACACACAGTAACACGTGACACACCAGAGGTTTCAATTTCACCAAGTAGGTTAACAAGGACTTTTGAGGCAAATATTTAGTTAAGCAGCAATAGTTCACTATATACTCGAATTTCATACATTTTATAGATCCTAAAGTATTTTTGAATAAAATCATACATATTCATGGTTTGGGACTATCATTATATGAATGCTCATTGTACCAAAATAAAAGTGTGATGTTAGAACTCTTATGTAGAGTTAACCAATTCAGCATTTTGTAACATTTGTACCCAATGTAAAGAATTGAACAACATCCAGTTTGAAACAGCAAACTGGATCATCTATATTTACCACCCTCCAGAAATAGTTTAACAGATGTTGCACTTGGTGTCAGTCAGCAAAAACTAAATCTATGCCTTATGCAGTCAGATCTCAGCTGCCTATGTGCAAAGTACAACAGACTGTACCCAGTCATTGCACACCATGCAAATTAGTGCAGTAAACCTGCATTCAAACTGTAATATCAAAAGTACATAATGAGGCTTCTTGCATCATAATAAGTTTGCAAACTAGAAGTTGACATTTTTAAAAACATGTTTGAGGATTTCATTTTCCTTTAACAAATACTCACTGGAAAGACATGAACTTAACATTTTTATGAACAAGGGAGTTAGAGAGGAAGGCAAATAACAAGGATAAAGATTTATCTTGTGTACCAGTTCAAATATTCTGTGAGGGACTGCTGTAATGGACATAAAACAACTTGCATTTATATAGCGAGCTTCACTCAGGTTAGTTTTGGAGTGCTTAACAACGGCATAGTTAGATGCTGACCTGGCTAAAATGGGGACGGGGATGAAACTGTAGGCATTATTGAAGAGGAAAGCTTTCAAATGCAATCTGAAGATGGGCAAAGTTCTGGATTCAAAAATTTTGTACGACTGGATTCAGGCAGAGAATTCCAGAGATTCAGGGTGGTTGCCGAAAGCAAGACTGCTGGTGGTGAGCACTAGGTTGAGGGATACCAGAAGAGCAAAAGGTAGAGGAGTGGGGTGCAAGCAGATTGGAGAGGTGGGAAGATGCGAGGGCACAAAATGGTTAGTACATAAATATGAGGATTCTGAAATCAATCTGCTCTGCAACAGGTGGGAACAAGTTTGGTAGGGGTTAGGACATGGGCAACATAATTTTGAATCTGTTGGACTTCGTGAGTTGTCATTTAAATGGCATTGAAAGAAAAACCCAGACCAAAACTTTAGGATGGAACAAACAATAGAACAAGAGGCACATATTTAAGAGTTGTAAAGGGCAACTGCAGGACAAATACCAGGTAGGTGTTCTGGATGATAGGATTGGATGGTTCAAAGAACACCAATCCGACCATCCCATCATCAAAACGTAGCTTGATGGAGTAATAAGGGAAAGGCGGGTGGATTTCTGGATGGATGAGATCAGATGGCCCAAAGAGCCTTTTTCATTCAAACCAGTCTTATGACCCCTTACAAACCATTACTCGAGAAGGCTACTTGTAAACCACCTCTTAAAATATCTCTAGTGGGGAATAATGCACAATTCCATAGATTCTTTCTTGTGGAAAGAAGTGTACATTCAAGGTGAGGATTTTAATGTACCAAGCAAATTTCAGGGAGTATTTATACAGATTTCAGGAAGTATTTATACAGATAAAGCATTCAGTTACAGCATAACGTAAAACCTCATTGGTAAATCTCCCCAATTAATCCCAAATTTATCTTTATATCTTTCACCTTACAACAGCTCTCACTGCAATAACGTGCTCATTACCATTATCTACTGGGTGAGCCAGTCGATTTGTGCCTGTTGCGATATGGATTTACACCAACAAACAAGAATCCACACATTGATTACTCTTAATTAATTTAGTTACATATACTTATCCTAGTCTGGTATGGAACCAAAGCCAGGTTCCAGAAATGAAAGCGCTCTCATCCAGCATGTTCCACGATTCCCTACACAAAATAAAGATGTTTCTTCACACCTAATGCTATCATAAGGCCATAGGTGAAAAAACCATGTGCCTTACAAAAATTCACTTCTCTGACTCTCCATAATGGCATTTGTATTTGCATTTATTTTCTAAATTGGTCCCACCAAATCACTCTGAAATTTACAATAACGTGCATTTATATAGCATCTTTCACACAAGATAATGTCAGAGTGTTAATTTAAAATGAATATTGAGAAAGTTAGTAGAATGATCAATGACGAAAGTAAATGAGCACTAGATCAAATGTGATCTAATCAAGGAGTCAACATTGCTCTGTGAAAGCAAGATCATGTCTATCTAATCTAAAAAATTCTCCGACTGAACACAGAAGTGATAATAGATCAAGTCAGTGGTAAGGATTTCCAGAAGTGGTTTGATAACAATGGGCAGAATGAAGGGCCTTCTTCTGAATCTCTTCTTGCCTTGTGTTAAGAGGTGTCCCTGCTCGGCATTATGCTCCACCACCTTCAAACGCTCTGGGACACTACCCCTGATTGAAGGGCGCTATATAAATGCTGGTGTTGTTATAAGTGGGCAAAGCACTTGATGATCATCAAGGTTTTAAAATCAAATGATAGAATTGCTTCAATAGTCTACTTCTGTTCTGAAATACAGGGGGTTGGTATCCAACAACAAATTACATTTGTATCTAGGTTACTTAAGTAGAATAAAAATAATTTTACCAGTTCCTTCTTCAGTTGAACAGTCAAATCCCAAGCTTAAATTCATTTGATTTAATGGTTCTATATTAGTTTGGGATTGAGAAGCCCAGTACTAATCATGGCCATGGATCAAGCCTACAAAAGTACTGTCAACTCAGTCCACTTATCCAGAGAATCTGCAAAAGCTTCTGAAACTAAGACATGGAGGAAATAAAATAAATAATGCCTGTAGTTGATCTAGCGCACATCAGGAGCCAACTCAAAGTACTTGACAGGATTTACAGTGTAGAAAGAAGTCTCTCCCATTGTCCTGACCAACAATCCACCACATAAAAGTGGTCATTCATTCATGGATCATTGTGGAACATTGTTGTATGCAAATTGGCTGCCACATTCGACCTACAAAGTACTACATAATAGGGTCACTACATGTTACAATAAATCCTATGAAGCATTTTGAGGGATTAACAACTTGCATTTATATAGAGCCCTTCGGGCAGAATAGCATCTCAGAGTCCTTGAGACATCCATCTGACATAAAAGACGTTATATCAAATGCAAGGATAATTATTCCTGGAAAGTGTAATGATCACTCTGAAAGAGAATGTGACAGCCGTTGCCCACAAACAGCCATGAAGTGAAAGACCAATTTTATTTAGGGAAATGTTGGCCAGGCAACGAGAGAATCTCCCTTCTCTTTTTGGAAGAGTGCCATGGGTTTTAACATCCACCCGAACAGGCAGATGGGACCTTAGTAATGACTGATTTGAAGGATAGCACTTCCAACAATGCATTACATCCTCAGCACTGCAGTGTCAGCATAGACTATGACCTCAGAGGTAATAGTACAAAAAAATCGCAAAAGACTTCTGCATACAAAAGAGACCAATTTGATCACAAGGAATAGAAACTCCAAGATATTAACAGAAGCATAGTAACTTAGTCTGTCAAGTACCCAAGAATTAGTTAATGTGTACGTTAACTGTTAACTGATCAGTAACATCATGGAAACTGAAAGACAGTCTATGTTGCAAGGTTTGATAAGCAGCACACTTTTCTTGTAACACACTGGGCATCAGTGAAATTTATTTTGGGGGTAGACGTAAACCTGTAAAGGGTATTCCTTACATTGCTTCTCAAGTACTTATGATATTTATCACCTTGTTGATAAGCACTTCCTTATTACCTCAAAACCCTTCACAGAATATACCATAATGAATGGACTGCATATTTTGCGCAGACAATTGCATACTGCAGTGTCCCACAGTTATGGATTGAGTGACCAAATTATTATAATTTTTTTAAGGAATCATTAGCCCAGAAAGCAATCCGCCAATTGACTAGCAATCAGGTTCCTACTTACTGCTTGGTAAACAGAGGCGTGTGGAGTAAACAAACTTGCCTAAGATTTCACCCTGCCTGAGAATCAAACC